CCCCGTGGACCCCACGCCCCAGTCGAGGCACGGTTCTTGACGCTTTAAACGCATGAGCTGGTTCTGCAGGCCCCGGGGCCTTTGCACACGCTGCTCTCTCTTCCAGGCGCCCTTCGTTCGTCTTGTCTCCGCGGTGCGAGGACCCATGTCCCTCCTGCAGCCCGGCGAGGCCCGGCCCACGGCAGACATCACTAATCTATCAGCGTCCCTCCTCACTCTACACCGCTCATGCCCAGCCCATGGCAGACATTGCTAATCTACCTGTGGGGCCCACGGCAGACATCACTAATCTATCAGCGTCCCTCCTCACTCTACACCGCTCCTACCCAGCCCATGGCAGACATTGCTAATCTACCTGTGGGGCCCACGGCAGACATCGCTAATCTACCTGCGGGGCCCATGGCAGGCATCACTAATCTACCTGCTGGGCCCACGGCAGACATCACTAATCTATCAGCGTCCCTCCTCACTCTATACCGGTTCTACCCAGGCCACGGCAGACATCGCTAATCTATCAGTGTCCCTCCTCAGTCTACACCGCTCCTACCCAGCCCATGGCAGACATTGCTAATCTATCTGCATCCCTACTCACTCTATACCACTTATACCCAGCCCACGGCAGACATCACTAATCTATCAGTGTCCCTCCTCACTCTACACCACTCGTACTCAGACATCACTAATGCATCAGGTATCCTTCCCCACTTCCTTCCAGCCCCACCCAGTCATAGCAGACATCACTAATCTATCATGTATCCTTTCCTACTTTCTGCCAGCCCCACCGGGGCAGACATGACTAGTCTATCATGTGTCCCTCCTGCCAGTCCTGCCCAGTCCATAGCAGACATTATTAATCTATCATGTGTCCTTCTCCACTTCCTGCTAGCCCCACCCAGTGCATGGCAGACATCGCTAATCTATCATGTGCCCTTCCTGCCCTTATCATTTCTATGGCCTCGGCGGTAGGGGCCCATTTCCCAGAGGGAATGGTAGAGGCAGGGGGAGCTGTGGCCTGAATCCATTGCTTGATGGAGTGACTGAGGCGATGGATCCGAGGGACGGGTTCTCAGGCTCTGGGGGAGCCAGAGAGCAGGAGGGGAGGCCGCTGGCCACACTCTGTGCCGGGGCTCTGGCCTCAGCCCTGACCTGGGATGGGACCCCAGCCCCAAACAGAGTCACAGGTCCACCTGGAGACCTCTGAGCCTGGCGGAGCCGCACCCCCAGACTGAGCCCCTGACCCGGCTCAGCCCTACTCCGTCTTCATGTACCTCGGCCTCCTCCATCACCTGACCTGGGTCCCCGGAGTGGGGTGACTTGTCCAGACCCCGTTCAGAGCCCCCAGGCTGACAAAGCCTCCCGTGCCCCCTCCCCCTCTCCCTTGGCCTCAGTCGGACCACAGAGGCCTGGCGACCTGGGCTATGCCGGAAGGACCAAGCTGTTGGCACCACCTTCACACCCGCCGAACTGCGAGTGAGACGGCACTGCCACTTTGCACACGAGCTCCCTTCCCTGGCTCTGGGTGAGGGTTCTGCAGCCTTTATCGGCTACCCACTGCGTGCTGCGCTCTGTTGGCTTCCATGGTGCTTTCCGGCAGCCCTGGTTCATCCCAACAGATGAGGATGGTTTTTTCCTTCCTTTTATCCAAATGGGAAAACTGAGGCTCAGAGAGGGAGAGAGAGTTGCCCAAGGTGGCCCAGCACGGCCAAGCCGTTGCACCCAGCTCCGTCCGGCCGCGACGCCTTCCGGACTCGGCCAGCAGCCTCCCAGCCTCTACTGGACTCCGGAGCGGCGCTGGGCAGATGCGGCGGTGGGGATGTTTATCTGTCCACATCGGGCTGGCTCGGCGGAGCAGTCGATAATTAATTCTGAATTTTCCCCATTTATCATAGTGGCAGGAGCCCGAGTGCCTGGAATCCCAATTCCCGAGCCTCCGTCCCCCTCGGCCACCTGGAGCCGGACACGGTGGTGGCAGGAGCCGGGGTGGGGGAGGGGCCTCACCGAGCCTGGGGAGGGAGCGAGGGGCTTCCTGGCTGCCCGCTGCCTCGCTCTGGGCTTGTAAACGCTGTGCGACCCAGCAGTGACCAAAGCAGACCTCTCCCCAGCCTCCACGGGCTGGCGGGGAATCCACGCAGTGAACGAGTAACCATATAAACAATGAGCGCCACAAAGGAAAAGAACAAGACGTTGTGAGAACACGAAACCACAGGAATGTGACTTGTTTTGGGGGCCTCCCCAAGGGAGGGACATGGAGCCCGCAAGTCGGAGGATGGAAGGGGCGGGGCGGGAGAGGGTGCAGCGCTGCGTGCAGAAGCAGCATGTGCAAAGGCCCTGTGGCTGGAACGTGTCCCTCCCATTTGGGGCCCGGCAAGGGGGTCAGTAGGTCTGGAGCTGAGAGCACAAGAGTGAGGTCGCTGCCAAGTCCAGAGCCCTCAGGGCCAGGCCTGACGCCCTCACAGTGAGCCCAGCAGCCTTCAGTGGATGGCCAGCGGCCCTCAAGGGAAGAGGTGGGGAAGTTTCCCTAGTGATCTGGCGGATGGAAGTGAGGCTGCTTCCGACCCAGCCTGCAAGGCTCGGGCGGGTTTATTTTATTTTATTTTATTTTTTTTTGCGGGTTCTTTTTTTTTTTGTTATTGTTGTTATTCTGGTTTTTTCTTAGAACTGTTTTCCCCTTGGAGGATTCTTTCAAGCCCACTTGGGCACGCGGATGAGTCAGGATTTCTCTGCCAACAAGCAGCCTAGGCCACGCGGGCAGGTCCAAACACCTCCCTTCTAGGGCAGGGAAACTGAGGCCCAGAGAGGGACAAAGACCACCCAAGGAGGTTCAAGGGAGGACTGGGACAGGGGTTTCTGGGAGTCCCAGGAGCAGCCCCTCACCCTGCACCTTCTGCCTCTTCTGCGGGGTGTGAGCCCGGGAGAGCCTCGGCCGGGTGCCCGGCGCCCGCACTGCCTGCAGGGCCCGGCCAGCGGCCAGCGGGAGGTGCTGATCAGCGCCGTGGAATGAATGGGTGGTCCCAGCAGCTTGGAAAACACCCCGGAAGTCAGGCTCAGGATATCGGCGGGGGAGGAGAGGGGGTCTTTTTGGATAGGGGCTTTGAGAGAGATGCAGAGACATAAATAGACACAGAGACACAGAGAGAACCAGAGCAATAAACAGAGGGCAGATACGTAAAAAGCAGATTAAGACACAGAAACACAGGAAGGAAAGAGAGAAACAGAAAGACAGGCGGCAGGGCCAGAACCGCCACTAACCTGATTGGGAGCCTTTGGGTGAATCACAAAAAGGTTTCCCCTCCCCGGCCCCCCTCCCGCATCAGCTGGGTACTCTTGTGCAGTGAACAACCTGCCCCACCGTCCGTGGCGGCCTGAGCAGGGCCTGTCTTGGCGTCTCCCATCGAATGCACACACAGAGTTCAGAGAACGCCACAGCCCAGCCTGGAGTGGCAGAAGAGAGAGAGAGAGGGGCCAGGTGAGACTGAAGTGCGAGGTCCACCGAGGCAGCCGCCTCCTCCGGGAGCCATCTGGATTTACTTGCCAGCCGGGCACATTCCCCTTGACCTTCTTGGAGCACAAACCGGGTGGGCAGCCAAGGCGGGAGGCGGCCCCTCCCCAGGACGCCGCGGGCCCTAGCGAGATAGATGGTGGCTGCCAAGTCTCGCCCGAAACTCCTCTCAGCCCAGACTTGCTCTCGGGGTGGAGCCGGGAGCCGGGAGGCCCTTGGCGGGGAGGGGCGGGCTTCTCCCAGTTTCACAGCCCAGAGCAGGGACGGGGGGGGGGGGGGGGGGGGGGGGGGGGGGGGGGGGGGGGGGGGGGGCGGAGGGGGGGGGGGGGGGGGGGGGGGGGGGGGGGGGGGGGGGGGGGGCTGGGGTCACCCAGAATAAGGGTCAAGGGCAAAGGCATTCCGGGCAGAGGGGACACTTGTGCAAAGGCCTGGAGGTGACCAGAAGGTCAAAGGAACAGACCGCAGACAGAGGAAGGCCAAGTTATGGAGTTTGAACTGGACTTCATTTTAAAACACTTAATCTTTTATTCAGCACACACTCTAAATGGTCCCTGTGTACCTAGTCCCAAGCTGGGTGACCCTGGGGCTCCAATAGTGGCGTCTCCTGGGACTTCTCGGAGGAGACGCAGACCTCCCAGTTCCGTGGATCATGGGTGGGCCAGAAGGAGAGACCCGGGGCAGCAGGAGCCCAGAGGGAAGTAGAGGCTCTTCTTGGAGGATCAGAAAGGGCTGCGTGAGGAAGAGGGCATTGAAGCTGGGGTTTCAATGGATGAATAGGAGCTTGCCAGACGCTGAAGCGTGCACACTGAGCGGAGGAGGGGCTGTGGCCAGGATTGGGGGACTGTGCTGATAGAGTAGCAGGAGAGAGAACTGGGGCAGCAGGCCGAGTGAGCGTGAACTTGCTCCAGATCCTGCCGATATCAGTTCCCCCCAAGCCCAGGCAAGCCCTGTCAGGCCTGGAGCCTCCTGGAAGCAGCTCTGACTTCTCCCGTAGCTGCCCGGTCACAGGAGCTGCGCACTCTGGTCTACGATGACACTCAGTGGGGGCCGCTTTCCACACCCACCGTGGCAGCGGGACCTCAGGCCGGGCCTGTGCCTCAGTGTCTCAGTCTGGAAAGTGGGATGCCAGAAGCCGCTTCTGCGGTTCATCCCAGGGCAGGAAGGCCTGCGACCAGTGGCGACCAGTGGCATGAAGGAAGAAAGGAGAAACCTGGAAGGGAGAGGGGAAGAGAGGAGGAAGGTGGGAGGTGGATGTGTAAGGGTGATTGGAAGGGGGAGGGGAGGGAAGGAGGAGGAGAGAGGGAAGGGGTGGAGAGAAGGGGGTAATTGATGTGATGTGGATATAATATAATGGTTGTAAGTGAGTTAAAGTGTGAAAGGGTGGGTAGAGTGGAGTGTGAAAGGTTGGATTGATTGGATGGTTAACGGGGAGGAGGGGGAGGATATTGGTGTGGTGATGATGGAGGTGTGAAGGGGTATAGGTGACTGTAGGGAAGGGGGAGGGAAAGCGGGAGGGGAAGAGGTAGGAGGGAAAGACCGCGCACCTGCCCGCCCAGGCGGGGCAGGGACAGGCCCAACATTACCATTTCAGAACACGCCAGAGCTGTCGAGGCTTAAGAAATGGGTGGTGATTTGCATGTCATTTGCATGCCATTTGCATACTGTTTGTTAAATGTCAAAACGCCCTGAAAACGCTTTCTCCCACCTCCACCTCCAGCTAAGCAGCCGGCCTCCCCCTCCTCCACCAGCTCCCGCCGGGCTGGGGACCCCTGGGTGCAGAGGCTGCCTGCTGGGGGGCAGTAGTCCGGAGTGGGGTGTGGCGGGGCGCGGTGACCTCGGGCAAGCTGGAACCCGTCTGTGAAATGGGCTGCAACCAGAGGCCGGCGCCGCCGCTGAGCAGCGCAGCCGAGTGAGACAGGGCCCCGCAAGAACGTGCACAGGCCCCGCGGTGGAGTAGGGGCCAGGAATGGACTCGGGGTGATTGGCAAACACCCCCACTTTCCTGCAGGACCCTAAGGGGCAGGTCGTTGAGAATGTGCAGGGGAACGTACAGGCAAAATGTCCCAGGGCTCGAGGTACACACAGGTGGCCCGGCTGCGGGCAGAGACCCAAACCACGCGTGTGCAGGCCTTGCCCCACCACCCACCACCCTGGGACTCAGTTTACCCACACAGAAGACCGAGTAGAAGGTCCTGCTCTAGAAGGAGGCCCAGAGAGCAGACAATGGGGTCTCTGGGGACATGGCCCTGGGCTGGGCACTGAGGGGAGGGGTGGAAGGGACAGGGACGCCCCCTCCCTGGGCACACGGGGCGGGGTGGGGGAGGCGACACCCAGGTCACCGGACGGCACAGCAGCTCCGAGTCTGTCTGCAGCAGGGAAGTGGGGGTCCCTCTCTCTGACTCCCCCTCCTCTTGGCCAGCCCAGCTGGAGTTGGAGGAGGGACAACCACGGGGGACACTCCGAGGGTTGGCCAGGGGAGTCGGGCAGGCCTGGTGCCTGGGGGCCTTCGGGCAGCAGGACTCTCAATTAAAACATTATTTCCTCCCAGTCTTCCGCGCCTGTGCCCTCGTGCAGCCGGTACCCGGAGCGTGAACAGGCACCGAGGGCGCCAGCTGCCCCCGGTCTGAGAAGGACCCGGCGCCATGTGGCCGCAGGTCAGAGGTCCAGCGAGGCCCAGTGTTCCACCCGAGGGTCTCTACCTGGAATGCCCCACGATCACCTTCCAGGCCATTTCTGCCAGCCCAGAGCCCCATCCCCAGATCACGTCCACTGGGCCAGAGCCCTCAGACCCACTGGGGGCCGTGCAGCGGCGTGGCAGAGGGAGTGACGGGGAAACCGCTGAGCCGGGCACAGACGTGTGGCCTGGGGTGTGGGCGGGGCCCCGGGAAAGGGGCTGGGGTCACCGAGTCCCTGCCCTTGGTCCTCTGAGAGTCCAGCAGCGCCGGGCTGCAGCCCCAGCCAGGGCTGCCTGCAGCAGAGGGGGCTTGGGGGGACCCCGGGGGGCACGAGGAGGACCCTGGCTGGGAAGGAGGGAATCTGAGAGGACTTTCTGGAGGAGGCTGGATCCCAGGCGGGTCGGAGCCACACAGATGGGGGTGGAAGCCGCTCCGGGCCATAGCCTCCGGGTCGCACGCAGAGCTGGAAGGCTCACGGCTCCTCCCTGGCAGGCTGGGCAGGGACGGCAACGTCCTGGGTCGGTGTCAGGGGCTGGGGCTCCAGCAGGAATGTCCGAGGCAGGGGGCACCATCTGGCCTGGCCAGCGTCCACCTGGGAGCCCGGAGCCTGGAACAGCAGGGGGAAGAAGGGAGTGAGAACAACGCCAGCTCTCTGGACAGTTGTCCTTCTTCCCTTTTTCCTAACAGCCCTGATGTGGCCGGTGACACCTGCAGCCATGCCCTCCTGCCCTGTGTCCCTGGTGGCCCCAGGGAGAAACAGGGACTTGCCCCTGGGCACAGGGAGCTTTCTGGGGTGAACTCCGCTGTTTTCTGCCACCTGGTGGCAGTCGCAGGAATTGCAGGCAAAGAGTGCAGCGAAACCAAACCTGCCCACCACAGACCACCCTTCCCCTTAGCAGCCGGGCGACACAGCCCAGAACGGAGGAGTGGTTTCCCCAAGGCCACACAGCAAGTTGGGGCAACATCAATTCAGGCCCCCATGTCAGTCCAAAAGGCAGTGAGAAGGTGAGGCCAGTGTCCCCAGCCCAAGGGCCAGAAGTGTGGGTGTACAGAGGAAAGTGATGGCCCACAAAGTCCAGTCCCTTCTCCTCTCTGGGCCTCAGTTTCCCCATCCGTGGACTCCACAATCTCTAAAGTTCTTTCTACATCTCAAATACTGAGATGACTTACCTGGAGTGAGGTCTGGGCTCTCAGGAGGCTGGGCAGGGACCTCCTGAAGGTGCCCCCTGCCCGAGCCTGTGCCTTCAGTCAGTCCCTCGGGTCCCCTCGGACATGGCTCCACCTCCTCCAACCCAGACTACCTGAAGAGGGGGCACAGAAAGACACAGGTTGCAGAACAAACGCGGCTGCGGCCCCAGCCCCGGCCCCGGCATTCAAGGCCTCCGTGCTCTGCTCGGTGTCTGGCCGATGCCTCTTCCCTCACCTGCCGGGGCTCCTTAGCATCTTGTAGGCACTTAACACATGATCATTATCCTGTGCCTGCTGGTTGACCTGTGGCAATCTGTCTCCTGCTGCCCCATCATCAAGGCATGTCACCTGCCCTGTCACCTACCCCGTCCCCTCCCCTCCTCCCTCTCTCCCCCTCCTCACAGGGGCCTCCTCCCTGTGCCTCCAACACGCCAGGTGCTGTCCTGCCCCAGGGCCTTTGCACACCTGGAATGCCCTTCCCCCACTCTCATTCTCTGTTTAACCAGCTCCTTCACCTCTCACACCCTGAAATGTCGCCTTTCAGGGAGGCCTCCCTCGGCCAGGCCACCGTTGCTAGGACAGCAGCGTCCCCACCCCTCACCCTTCCAGCGCCTCCTCACTGCACTGAGTGCAGCTCTGCCCCGCATTTGTTCATTCCTGTCCCACTGCCGCAACCTCCAGCAGGGCGTGGCCTAGTCTCTCCGGGTGGCCGCCCAGCACAGGATGCGGCACACAGTAGGCACTCAATAAATGCTTATTGCAGATGGAATCCTGTTGCTTGGATATCTGAGGGTCGTCCAGCTGCCAGACCTTCTAGAAGGTGCACTGCCAGGGACATGCGCTCCCAGCCCCAAGTCCCAAGCCTCCTGTCCCCGGAGACGTGCCTTCGAAAGGGCCTGAAGTGATGGGGACCGTCTCCCCCCCCCCCAGCCTCCTGGCACAGAGAGGTGTCTGAGGCCCCTGCTCTCCAAACGTCACCCCAGGCTGGGTGGTGGGCCAAGCCCCGCAGGGCCTGGCGAGCGTGACCCCGTAACACCCAGGGTGACTCATGTGGCCCTAGGCCCTCCCCTGCTTCCAAGGTGGCGTCTGAGTCTCCGAGACAGCTCCTGCCGGCTCCGCCACCTGCCCGCCACCTTGCTAAGCGCGGCCACCACCCGTTTGCGGAACTGCCCCGCGCCTGGCACACACACCCCCGAGGCCCAGACGCCCCTCTCTGTGGACCCTCCTGCGCCCGCCAGCTCCGCCCCTCGGGTCGCGTGGGCCAGGGGACCCCTCTGGGACCCCGACAGCCAGGCCCGAGTGTGGGCCAGGTGGCCCCTCTGGGGACCCCGACGGCCAGGCCCGAGTGTGGGCCAGGTGGCCCCTCTGGGACCCCGACAGCCAGGCCCGAGTGTGGGCCAGGGGACCCCTCTGGGACCCCGACGGCCAGGCCCGAGTGTGGGCAGCAAGTGTCCGGATGGGAGGGTGGGGAGGGACAGACGCGCGGAGAGGAGGAGGGACAGACGCGCGGAGAGGAGGAGGGACAGACGCGCGGAGACACAGAGACAGAGACAGCGGGGACGAAGAGGGACGCGGGGAGGGACCCGGCGAGACGGAGCGGGCAGAGACGCGGAGCGGAAGCGGGCGGCGGGGCGGCCACCTGGGCTCGCTGACGAGCAGCAGCACCGAGCCGTCCTGCAGGCGCGCGTCGCGCACCGTCTGCCGGTCGTCCAGGCGCCGCGCGTTGTAGTAGAAGGCGCGCCCCCACGAGCACACGCCCTGGCCCACCAGCTGCGCGCGCACGTCGCTCAGCGTGTCGCGCGGCCGCACGGTCAGCGGCAGCAGCAGCGCCTCGTCCGCCAGGTGCACCTTGATGTGGTAGCGCTTCCAGCGCGACAGGCCGCGCCGCAGCCCGTCCATGGCGCCCGCCGCCGCGCCCGGCCTGTCGCCGCCCGCCGCGCCGGTCGCACCCCGCCCGGTCCCGCCCCGTCCGCCCCGTCCGCCTGCCCCGGCTCGCCCGGAGCCCCAGCCCGCGGGAGGGCGGGCGCGGAGGCGGCCCCGCACACCGCACCCCGAGCCCGCCACACCCGCCGCACCCCCACACCGCACCCCACCCATGCCCCCACCGCACCCCACCACCCCATGCCCATCCAACCCCTCTGCCCACCCCACTCGGCACCCCACCCCAAGCTAGCCCCAACGCCCAGTCCGGCACCCAACCCCAACCCGATGCCCGCCCCCACCAGCACCCTCACCCACCCCATGCCCACCCCATCGGACCCACCCACCCATGCCCACCCCTATCACCCCATGCCACCCTATTCCAACTCCCTAGCACCCACCGGCACCCCACCCACCCCCAACCAGCACCGACCCCACCCTACCCCCACCCCTACGCCCAGCCCAGCCCACCTCCACCCTGCCCCCCACCCCATGCCAATCACCATTGGGCACGTCACCCCAACCCCTGAAGGCATCCACTGGGGACACCCGAGGGTGATTAAGTGCTATAAGTGAGAAATAAGGTCAGCGCAACACATGTGCATTTTATAAATATAAATATCATATACAATATAAATACGCACATACACATTATAAGTGAACGTGCGCCCAGGTCAGAGGCCGGGAGCTGTCGGGGGAGAGGTGAGGTGAAGGGAGGCCTCGCTGAGGGGGAGGCCTGGAACTGAGTGGGAGGAGAGAGCCGGCCAGCAAAAGCTCAGGCAGAGGGTGCCCAGGCTGGGGAGCACGGCCCGTGCAAAGGCCCTGGGGCAGGATGGCTCCTGGCCTGTGGGAGGCACAACGAGGAGGCCCGCGTGGCTGGAGCGGAGTGAGGAGGGGGAGAGAGGGGAGAGGGCAGGTCGTGCAGGAACCTCCTCCACCCGCAGTGACCCCCGCCCCCACTGCCCTGCCCTGTGAGGTGGGAGGACGGTGATGGGAAGGAGGGAGCACCAGGTCTCACTCAACCCCTTTACTCCTTCACCTCCTTCAGAACGCACCCGCCTACTCCGTCTGCACTGCTTGCCGCTTGGACCCGGCCAAAACTCAGCCTTAGGCACTGCCCGCGAGGGGCGCGCGGCCGGGGGTGGGGGACTCGGCGCTGGACACAGCCACTCCAGCCCGGGAAGGTCAGGGCCTGAGTAGAGGGAGAGACCCCCAGCCGGGAAAGTTCAGGAGGCGGGGATGGTTTCCCAAGAGGGGTGGGCATTGGAGCCGGGGCTTCAGCAGACGAAGAGGAGCTCAACACTCCCAACCAGGAGACACCGCCCATGGTCACCGCCCGTCCAGTTCAGCACGTGCCTAGCAGGGAGAACCCAGAGTCAAGGCTGTGGCCAGTGGCAGCCACGGGAGGCGCCCCCAATCCCGTGCTCCCTCCCACACTCTCACAACCCCTTCCTCAGGCCCCGCCAGCCCTCCCAGTCCACTTAGCCAAGCACCCTCTTCCCCAAACCCGCCCCTGACTGCCACATGTGCCCGCGCACCGCCACAGCCACCGGGGGCAAGCCTGGCCAGGTGTGGGTGTCCGGGACGCAGGTGTCGCCTCAACGACCCAAGGTCCATATGGAAAAGCCAGTTAGGAGGCAGGCCGCCCGGAACTGCCCTCCTGCACCGGACAAGTGGCCTCCCGTCCCAGCCTTGTCCCTTGCGAGTCCCTGGGGGGGGGGGCCCTAACCTCCCCGGGCCTCAGTGTTCCCATCTGGGGTTGCGGTAAGGATCACATTAACGTGGGTGAAGCGCTCTGAAGGGTTCCTGGCACACGGTCGCCCGCTAATCGGCCGCGCTTGGGGGAGTATTTAGGAAGACGTTCAATTTGTCTCCGCAAAGAAAAGCAAATAAAACCAAAAATAGCAAACAGGAAAAGCACCTGCTAAGTGACAGACGGTCTTCTAGGTACCTCATGGAAAAAACAAACGAACAACAACAACAAAAAAATCTTCTCTTAATTTTACTACACTGTTACCACCCATCTTACAGATGAGTAAACTGAGGCACGGAGCGTTCCCCGAGGAAACACAGTGCAAAGTGGACGAGCCAGGATTGAAACCCCCAGCCACGGGGCTCCAGCGATCCTGCCATCGACCACGTACGACACACACACCCCCCTATGCAACCGCCCGGCTTCAGATGGAGATTTTAATGGTGCCTAAAACCAAAATAAATCCCCCTTCCACCTTCCACACTCCACGCCCCGGCCCCCGCCCAAAGAAACTATAAAACTACTAGAAGGAAACATGGGAATTTAAAATAATAATAATCTCAGTGCGTTGAAGCATGACATTAAACCCAGAAGCCTTTAATTAAAAGGTTAATGACTGCCTCTGTACAACTACAAAATTCTCATCACATGTGCCCGATAAAAGACATACAACTATTGTGTACCCATAATAATTAAAAATAAAAATTTTTTAAAAATAAATATACACAAAATATATGAAATTCTTACACATGCACACATACAAAAATACTAGAAGGTCAACAGGCGAACCCAAGGAAAAATTTCCAAGACATGATAAGAGATAAGACTGATTTCCTTAATATGTAAAAAGCATCTAGAAATCAATAAGGATCAATAAGCCAATAGAAAAAGGGGTGAGACATTAACAAAATGGCTTGTGAGCGTATGTGCAAGGCAGCTCATTTTCACTTATGGTCAACTAAATACAAAATAAAACTACAACGAAATACCGCCCTTCCCCTTTTTTCCTTCTCATCTGGTTGGTGAAGATGAAAAAGTTTGATCGCTCACCGTGTTGCTGAGGTTTTAGGAAAAGGGCTATCTCATGCCGTTGGGGTTCGGAGTGTGAAAGGGGACACTCTCTGTGACAGTAGCTGCCGAAACGCACACACCAGCAATGTCCTTTCTGGGACTGTGCCTGTGTGCACAAAGATGACAGCGCAATATCCACGCCAAGCAATTTGCATGCAACTCACAGCAAACCACGAAGCCAGGCGCCATCTCTGAGTGCATTGAACAAAAGAGGGAAACTGAGGCTCAGAGAGCGGTGGTGGCAGAATGAGAACCCAGGCTGGCGTGTGTTCTCTCCGGGGAAGGTGGGTGGGCCGGCTCTACCTGCAGAACCAGGTCACCGTGGCCCTGGCCACCTCCCTTGTCAGGCTAATTTCCAGGCCTTGTTGTCATACCTGCTGGTGTCCAAGCAGGTCAGAGCGAGGCCCAGGGACACTTGGCTTTGACACAGGGGTGTCAGGCAGTCCACGCTGAGTCCTGAGTGCCGAGTGCCAGTTCCGATTCATTCCGGCTTTCTCATTAAGCCGTTAGGAAAAGCCAGGTGGCCGCGGGCGGCCGGGCCTCTGCCCGGGTCGCCGGATTAGAAGGGATCGTGGACACTGTACTTATCTGTTGCGGGCAATTATGGAAGACTCAGGCAGACAGTGACAAGCTCAGAGAGTCCCCGAGCTCTGGGAGGACTTGGGCGGCTGGGAATCGTGGGATCGCTGGAGCTGCAGGCTCCGGCGTCTGGAACCGTCCGGTGTCCATCCGCCCTCCCGCGTTGCGCCCGCTCCCGTGGGGGTCGGGGTTCTGCGTGGTGGTCCCCAAACATCGCTTCTGGCTGTTTTCGGGGAGCGGAGGGTGCGGTGCAGAGTTTGGAGGGAGTCGGCGGGAAGCAGGAGGAACAGGCTTTACAAACGAGGCGGTTTTGCAAAAGAAGTTTTGCAAGGGTCGTGGGAGGCTGGGCGGCAGGGAGAGAGGTGGGTGGGCCCGTGTCTCCCCAGTTCCGCGGCCAACGCGCCCCACTGTAACATGCCACCGAATGATGGATTGGCAGGTGCCCGGCCTCCTGTGGTGCAGAAGAGGTTTCTTACCTAAGGCTTTACCCCTCTTCACCCCAGAGGTCTGGAACTGGAGGCCCGTGGGCTGAATTGGGTTTGTTTAGCCCACACCATGCTATAAAAAGAAGATGAGGCCGGGCGCGGTGGCTCACGCCTGTAATCCTAGCACTCTGGGAAGCTGAGGCAGGAGGATCGCTTGAGGTCAGGGGTTCAAGAACAGCCTCAGCAAGAGCGAGACCCCGTCTCTACCAAAAACAGAAAAAATTAGCTGGGCATGGTGGCGCATGCCTGTAGTCCCAGCTACTCGGGGGAGGCTGAGGCAGGAGTTGGAGGTTGCTGTGAGCTAGGCTGACGTCACGGCACTCTAGTCCAGGCAACAGAGGAGACGCTTGTTTCAAAAAAAGAAAAGAAAGAAAAAGAAATGTCCCCGACACTGCTGAATCCATTTTAGAAGATGGATAAATTGATACTTCACTACATTGATCCTTAGCTAAGACAGGCCTTGTTCCAGGTCAAAAATGCCAAGGAGAGACAGAATCCAAGTACCCCAATTCCAGGGAGAGCCATTCTGGGTAGAGCAGACAGATGTGGCACCAACAGAGGCAGAGGCGTGGTTTCCATGGCATCAGGGCTGGCGACTAGTCCAGAAGTTCTCGGGGCGACTTTCTCTCCTACCAACCCCCCCCACCACCAGTGAAGATGTGAAACAGGCAAAAGAGAAATTTCTGGTAATGTGATCATTTGCATAAACATTTACATAGCTGCAGGAGTTGTCCTTCATGCTGTTTTCTTAGAAAATGAGACTTCAAAAAAATGTTCTGCTTTCTTCATATCTATTACTTCTTGGACCCATCCAGTAAAATTTCATAAGAAATTCATTGCCGGGGATATCTGGCAGATGAACGTTCATGGTGGTCCCTGCTGGTAAATTATGTTTTTCTAGTCTAGTTTTATTAGCAACAAAGGCTATTTGCCACTATCGTGTTCAAACGCAGCACCTTCATATATAAAGAGTTGTTAGAAATAAATAAGAATAGAGCAACACAAAGAATATGGACACCACTTTGGTCACACAAAAGACAGATGGGAGAAATTGTAAAAGAAAGACTCACGTGAAAACATGTTTAGCCACTCTAGAATTCTTGCCGT